ACAGTCACGCTTACACAACTAAGACGAGATCTATACTCGAGCTGAGTGACTCAGCCTAAGGTTTGGAACCTCTAAAATGGTTATGGGCACATTCTTGGTTGATTTATGAGACATGGGGTCTTTGGTAAGGTGGTTCTAATCAAGAAATCCATGCATTTACCACCACCAAGGGCTTTGCCAATTTCAGGCTACTTGGTGTGCTGTGGTTAGGGGCTCCACCGCTGAGCCCTGGTGCTGGCATTTCATTTCATAGTAGTCCTCTGGACCAGTGATAGTACCACACTGTGACTTAGAAGGAAAAGGAGGGCAGTGACTTATGTTGTTCTGGCACCAAATAGGTCCCAATGACAGTTCTAGGCTGGGGATGTGACTCTGTGGTATAGCACTATGCCTAGCATGTGTGAGACCTGAGTTCCATTCCTAATACCATAAGAAAATATAAATAAATAACAATTCTTTTTTTAAAATTTTTTTTATTTGTAGTTGGACACAAAACCTTTCATTTATTTATTTATTTATTTTTATGTGGTGCTGAGGATCTAACCCAGCGCCTCGCACGTGCTAGGCGAGTGCTCTACCGCTGAGCCACAATCCCAGTCCCTAAATAAATAACAATTCTGACACTAAATTAGTATCCTACGATTCAATTTTTTTCTTTTTCTTTTTGGCACTAGGATGAACCCAGGGAAATTTACCACTGAGCTGTGTCCACTTTTTATTTTTTATTTTGAGACAGAGTCTTGCTAATTTGCTTAGGGCCTCACTAAGTTGCTGAGACTGGCTTTGAACTTTTGTTTCTCCTGCCTCAGCCTCCTGAGTCACTGGAATTACAGGCATGTGCCACTGTGCCCAGCAAATTCAATCCTGACAACTATCAAAGTTAGTGTAGAAGCCTCAGGTTAAGGGCTCGGGCCCATAGGACTGGCTCTGCTTCAGATGCTGGTCAACAGTGGGGTCTGCAGTTTGCCTGCACTTCTGCCTGGCTGGCTACAAACTTAGATATTTCCCACAATTCTCCCTCAGGTTCTATAATTTCTTAGAATGACTCACGGAACACAAGGAAGCTCTGTTTGATATTACAGCTGTAAAGGACACAGCTGAGGAAGAGCCAGATGTTAGAAGTACATGAGGCAAGGTATCAGGGGAGGGGGCACAGATAGCTCCTGTGGCCTCTCTAGCCACCCACCCACTCTCTAGAACAAGGAGGTGTTCACCCAACCAGAAGTTGCCTAAACCTCATGGCTTCAGGGTTTCTATGTGGGGTTGATAAACAATTTACAGGGCATTGTTTTGGACTAAGCTCCTGCAGGGGCCCCAACAGACCAGAATGGAGTCACTCATGCTTTGTGGCATGTGATAAAATCAAACTTTGAAAATGAACCACTTTTCCAGAACTCAGAAGTTCACATCAACCAGTGAGAAGGAGCTCAGTGTACCTGAGCCAGTGTGGTAAATGAGTCCCCTCCATTGTAGCCCTTTAAGGAAACGAACATTGAAGTGACCAGTTCTTATTTCTGCTTTCTTCAGTCCTTTACTGCCTATTAAGCCAATCCCTTCTGCTCAGCTGATCTGAGCACTCATCCTATTTTATAAAACTAGATATTACCTGATTCCAGAATCACTAATAAGTGCCAACGTTTTAGTCAGCTTTTTTGCTGCCGTGACTAAAAGACCTGACAAGAACGACTTTAGGGGTGGAAAAGTTCATTTGGGGCTCCTGCCTTCAGAGGTCTTAGTCCATAGACAGGTGGCTCCATTCCTCCGGGCTCAAGATGAGGCAGAACATCATGGTGGAAGAGTGGCTGAGGAAAGCAATTGGGAGCATAGCTCCAGGAAGCAGAGAGAAACACCACTCAGCAGATACACATGTATACCCCAAGGCCATGGCCCCCAACATCCACCTCCTCCAGCCACACCCCTAATCCTCAATTACCACTCAGTTATTCTATCAGGGGATTCATTCACTGATTGGGTTAAGGCTGTCACAACCCAATCATTTTACCTCTGAATGTTCTTGCATTGTCTCATATGAGCTTTTGGGGAACACTTCATGTCTAAACCATAATAGCTAATAAGACCTTTACAGTAAGTTTGCTGTAAATTTCTCTTTTCACAGGTGTATTACCTGGGCGTGACTGAGCACATCACTGGCCTTAGCCAGGTGTGGCCCAATGATAGAGCCTGTGCCTAGCATGTGAGAGGCCTGGGTTCTATCCCCAGGGCTGCAAACAGGAAAACAAAACAAAATATCATCATCATTATCAACAACAATAACAACAACAACAAAAAACAAACATTGAACTCAAAGTTGAGGTCCTCTGGAGAGTTTAGGGGGAGTGGGGGTGGGCTGAAATTTCTGACCCTCTGATCTTATGGTCTAAAGGGGCTGTATATGAATGACAAGGACTACATCCATTACCTAAGGAATCCCAGGGGTATAGGAGTCTATGCCAAGGAAGACCAAAGGTATTTTTTATTATACCACATATTCCCATCACCTCCCTCAAGTAAACAATGACATGCTTGGTGCAGTGGTGCATGCCTGTAATCCCAGCAACTTGTAAGTCTGAGGCCGGAGACCAGCCTCAGCAATTTAGGGAGACCCTAATCAACTTAGAAACTCTGTCTCAAAATAAAAATTAAAAAAAATTAAAAAGGACTGGAGGAGTTGTAGCTCAATGGTAAAGCTCCCCGGGTTTAATCTCCAGTACCGTCTTTCCCCCAAAATCTATCTGTTCTTGCATTGTCTCATATGAGCTTTTGGGGGACACCTCATGTCTAAACCATAATAGCTAATAAGACCTTTACAGTAAGTTTGCTGTAAATTTCTCTTTTCACAGGTGTATTACCTGGGCATGACTGAGCACATCACTGGCCTTAGCCAGGTGTGGCCCCAAATCTGTCTGTCTATCTAGGAAAGACTGAAACTCATGGGCTCCCTCTGTCAATGCAGCCTGCCCCAGGACCACTGTCCAGATGGACTCAGGAGCTGCCACTGCTTTCCAGAAGGACCCATGTGGGATCAAATCCCACTTTGACTGTTGTGGGTCAAACTATATGTGCCTTGACCAGACAAACTCCATTTTACCCTGAGACTCCATTTCTTTTTGTCTTTTCTGTTGGTGCTGGGGATCGAACTCGGGCCTTGTGCGTGGTAGGCATGCACTCTACCAACTGAGCTAAATCCCCAGCCCCACTGAGATTTCATTTCATATAAGAAATGTTTCTTACACATGAGAAACATGTGTAACTCACCTCCTGCTAAGCACAACCTCTTTGGCAATGCACAGTGGCTGAAAAATGTTTCTTTTATTTTTATACAATGTATTATTAAAAAACGGTTTTGGGCTGGGGTTGTAGCAGTGGTAGAGTGCTTGCTTAGCATGTGTGAGGACCTGGGTTCAAGCCTCAGCACTACATAAAAATAAATAAAATAAAGATGTTGTTTCCAACTAAAAAATAAATATTAAAAAAAAGAAGGGTGGAGGTTGTGGCTCAGTGGTAGAGCATTTGCCTAGCATGTGTGAGGCATTGGGTTCAATCCTTGGCACCATATAAAAATAAAAACAAATAAAGGTATTGTGCCCATCTTCAACTAAAAAAAAAAAAAAGAAAAAAGAAATGCTTTTGCAAGGTGTTCTTTTTAAAAATATTTTTATTAGTTATTGATGGACCTTTATTTATTTGTTTATATGCGGTGCTGAGAATCAAACCCAGGGTCTCACACATACTAGACAAGCGCTCTACCACTGAGCTACAACTCCAGCCCCTCTCTCTCTTTTAATTTTTGTAATTGTAGATGGACAGAATACCTTTATTTTACTTGTTTATTTTTATATGGTGCTGAGGATGGAACCTCACACATGTAGGCAAGTGCTCTGCCACTGAGCTACAGCCCCAGCCCATAAGATGTTCTTTTTTTAGTTCCCATTTTTCTTGGGCAATGTACCCTGACTATACCCTGAACTGGGTCATTCTGACCCACTTCCTACGGTGCTATGGTTTTAACATACTTCACTTGTGGTTTTGGGCTATAAAAAGTGTGCTCTAACTCATGGTGGGGGTCAAAGGGTGCAGAGGCAACTTGCTTGCTGTTCTTTTGGCCCCTTGGTGAATAAAGTTCCATGCCCTGCTTCCAGACTGACCTGTGGTGCATTTCAAATGCACCACAACATGACCTTTTGGAGTCGGATGGCCCTGGGCATGTCACCTCCCTTTCCAACCCTTCCAACAGAGCTTTTCACATGCAGTGGAGACAACTGTCTCTGGGGGCTGTTTGGGGAGATGTGCTCATCTGGGTAGCTGGCAAATGGGGTTGCAGAGACCTCGGTCCCTGCTTCTCCTGTCTCATACAGGAGTTACAATGGCCTGCTGGCCCCCACTGCCCACACCAAAGTGTTCTCTGACCCCTGTGAGAAGGTCCGTGTCTTTCCTGTCAGAAGCCCCTGTGCACTACGCACCCACACAGCCCCCAGCCCAGCCAGCCAGCACCATCAGAAGGTGAGGGGTGTGGAGGGCAGCCCAGGGGCCTGGATTTCTCAGGAATGAGCCCTGTGACTTCAGACAAGTCCCAACGCCCCACTCTTTTCTGGGCCTTCGTTTTACTCCACAGAAACTTTGTATAAAGGAAAAGGGTGAGCTGGAGTTCTCTGAGATTCTTCCTGTTCTGACGAAGCCTGGCTCAGGGGTTGATACCAGGGTCTAAAGCAGACAGAAGCGAAGTTTTCAAACTTCAAACTTTATTATGGGCAAAAGGACTCAAGCCTGGAGCTGACTTCCCGGAGACAGGCTGAGATGAGGCACGGTGAGTGCAGGGCTGGGGACCCTGCTAGGACTCCAGGCTTCAAACTCTGCCCTGTTCAGCCCCAGCCAAGTCTGGGGAGAACAGAAGAGACTGACAACCTGAAAACCAACTAGGGATGGAGAAGGAGAGGCCCAGGTCAGGCCTCTCTGGCCTCTGAGCCAGGACACAGGCTGTGGGAGGGGACTGCTGAGGCCCCAAGACCAAGCAGGGGCTCTTCCTTGGGAACACTCTGCATCATAGAGCAGTCCCATGCTCCATGAAGTGGAGAGACCTGGAACAGGGACAGAGAGCTATGGGACAGTGTGGTGCAGGGCGCGGGACAGCCTCAGGGCCCGAGCTCAGCTTTCCATTTCTGCAGCTTCTTGTCCATGGCTTGGAGTGTGGCTTCATCCTGCATTGACACACACTGGTCCTCCCTCCTGCCCGCACCTCGCAGCCTGCAGAAGCGCAGGCACTAGACACACCCCAGCCCACCCTTACCTTCACAAAACAGAAGCGGATGTAGTGGTCAAAGTCCTTCTGATGTGGCACGCTGTAGAAGATGGAGACCGGGATGGCCACCAGGCCCTGGGGAGGAGGAAGCCCATGTGTCCACTCAGCCCTGTGGTCCGGCAGCCCCGGATTAGGAGACAAGGAGTTTTCCAGGAGGGACTGCAGGACAGTCAGCCCAGCGCATCGCCTTGGAGGCTGAGTCAGCTCAGACCTGGGACCCCGGGCATCATGCCAGGTCCCCGCTTGGGCAGTGAGGGAGGTGGCACCAAGAGGCTAGACCATGCAGCAGCCAGCAGAGCCAGAGAAGAAAGAAGGCTGAGGACGCATTCCCAGCTGGGTGGGACTCGGAGGCCTGGGCAACCTCCCTACTGCACAGATGGACCACTAAGACCCAGAGAGGGGTGGGCATTCCTGCCAGCCAGCATGCCATTTTGGAGCACATTAGAAATATGTTCCCTTTTTTTTTCTTTTTTTCTACTAGGAACTGAACCCAGAGGTGCTTCACCACTGAACGAGCCCTTTTTATTTTTTACCTTGAGACAGGGTCTTGCTAAGTTACTTAGGGCTTTGTTAAGATGCGGAGGTTGGCCTTGAATTAGTGTTCCTCCTGCTTTAGTCTCCCAAATCCCTGGGATTTCAGGTGTGTGCCACCATGCCTGGCCATTCCCTCTTTCTTGAAGTGGTTTTAACCCTGCACCCGGCCCATGGCAGGGGCAGACGGGTATCCCTTAGCTGGGCGTACTTGAGCAGTGCACCCCATGTGAATTCATACCTAGTGACCTTGTCAGAGGCCCAGCCCACCTTGTTTTTGATCATCCACTTGACAAAGCGTCTGTCATATGGCTCCTCTGCGGCACCAGGCAAGTCAGGCATCTTGCTTTCTGGGGGACAGAGGCCAGGCTGAGCCCTGGGAAGGCACCATTCCCCAGACCCTGCCAGCAGACACTGGCCAGTCCCACTCACTAAAGTCTGAGATGTCTGCGATGAGGAAGTAGCTTCCCTGGGACAAGACGGGCTTCAGGCCCACAGACTGCAGGCTGTGTGTCATGTGGTCACGGTTTCGCTGCATGGCCTTTGGCAACTGCACAAAGTAGCTGCTGGGTTGGCCCATGTGGAGCTGCTCCCGCTCAAAGCTCTTGGCTACTGCAACCTGCGCAGGGCAAATGGACAGGCAGGTCAGCTGTGCCTGGGCACTGGAGCCAGCCCGCCCATTTTCATTTGTCCTTGTGTACACCCCCTGCCCACAAAGGGTGCCCTGCTCCTCTTTACCTGGCCTTGCGTGGGACAGTGGAAGATAGAGTTCTGGTGCACAGTCCGCAGGTGCCTCATGATATGATCTGGGCCTAGGACCCAGCCCACCTGGATGGGGACACAGGTAGGGAATGAAGCTTCCCGGGCCCTGGCCACAGGCTCTCTCGGTTCCCAGGCCTGGACGGGAGGCTGCCCCGTGCCCACAGGGACTCACCTTCCAGCCTGTGGCACTAAATGTTTTCCCAGCACTGCCGATGGTCAGGGTCCGGGCCCACATGCCAGGGAGGCTGGCTGTCCAAAGTTAAAGACAGGCTGCTGGGATGGGCAAGGGCAGGAGCAGGTGACCTGACTCTGGGGAAGCACAGGCTTTCTACCCCAAGGACTCAGGGAGGGAGGGGCAGGACTGGGGGTTGAGCCCAGACCCCTCGTACATTCTTGATAAGCCCTCTGCCACTGAGCTACAGGCCGGTCCTTTTTATTTTTTATTTACTTTTGAGTCAAGTCTGACGGAGTTGCCAAGGCTAGCCTTGAACTCAGGACCCTCCTGCCTCAGTCTCTGGAGTAGATGGGATTGCAGGTGGGACCCAGGCCAAGGGCCCACCAAGGACTTATTTAATCTTATGCTCAAGACAACCTCAGAGGTAGGTGATACTGTGACCTTCCTTCTAGGGTGGTGAAGTCACTGCCCAAGATCATATGACCTACACAGCCCCACAGCCCCTTCTTGGTCCCTGGTTTAAGTGACAGGCCTGTGCTCCCAGCTTGGCCTCGAGGCCCACCCCCAGCCCGGCTCACCAATGCTGATGTGCTGGAGCCCGTCATAGACCAGCCACTGGTACACCTCATCCGAGATGCAG